TTTAAAATGAAACACAATTGTGTCTGACAATATTCTTTAACCAGTCATGAAATTAAATTTTAGTGGTCTGAATGCTAATGGAGTATGAAAGTTAAATATGTGAGTATTAGTGGAGAGCCAAATTAACGTTTGCAATAGGAGAGGCACCAGAAATACCTGCATGGTTCACTAGCCAAGTACATGAGATTTTTGCTCCCTCTAGTGGCAGATCGTAGCAGCTCTGCAGTCTGCTGCTGTCTCACAGAGGAATTAATCTTTATTTTGCTCAAGTGATAAAAGATTGGGCTATTTGGTGTCTAAGGCCTTACTTCTGATTCCCCCAAATGACCGTGATGTATTCAGCCATGGTCCATTAACACTTCTACACTCACTTGGTCAAGGAACAGAAATAGCACCATGTAATGTACTTGACCAGTTACAGTGAACAATTCCTAATTAATCTATAGAGTTACAACTTGCTTTGTGTCTTGAAGAATATTTGTTTAACCTGAAAAATAATTACAACTTTTGCTTCTTATTCCAGGGAATATGAAATGGCTAAATTAGGGAGACGAATTATGAGTTCATTGCAATTTTTGCAAAACATGTTTTGAGTATGTTTAACATGGTCTTTAACTGCTACACTGACACTCTCTAATTTGAGTGATTAAAAGCAATGAGATTCCAGAAATTATAAAATTGGAGCAAAGAACACACTATTTCAACATGTTAGGTTTTTTTTTTAATTGAAACACCATGATAACAACCTGATTTAGAATATTATAATTATTTCATACAAGGGCATTTAAATTGAATTGTACTTAATTAATATTTAGAGTTATGGTCACCTGTCTGGTGTACTTATAGTTAACATGTGGAAAGTGTTCCAACCTTATACAGCTGAATGGAAGTAGGCATTACTACTAACATTTTGTACAGCAATTACAGGCACACACAAATATGTCTTCTATTGTATAGTACAAGAATATTTTATTTTCATTTCAGGTATTAAATCCTCTGAGATTTAGGACTACATAATGTCTTTTAAGAGAAAAAAAGTATACAGAATAACATTTTGGTGCTTTTCTATGTCAGCAGGGCAGTTCAGTGTATACCATATTATGACTTTATTTTCATGAGTTTGTGAGATCAAATCTGCAAACTCCTACATCTACATGGAGTGTTCCACTGAAATGTATGGAAGTGTCAAGTGGAGTAGTAGTATGGACAGGGTTGAGGATTTGACTCTCTGTTGTCCAACTCACAGATGGATCTTAATTTAGCTTTGTGACTACCATGTCATTCATCCTATTAAGCACAGAACAGATTTCCTAAAAACATTACAGCTCTTCTCAGCTTTATGTAAGGAATAAGAAGGGTTTGCTTGAAACTGCATATAATATTTGCTGTATGCTGATGGCCAGCATTTATATGTACTGTATGATTCCTAATGGTTACAGTCATACTCAGAAAAAAAAGTACCTGGCCAATATGCATTGTATCATTTTTGTGTAAATAGTTTTCATTTTGTTTTGCAGATTCACAGCAAGCTGCATTTTAAACTATCTGAATTACAGCTGAAAATTGAACATATTGGATGCATCTATACAAGATGCTGCTGACTGCGCAGTAGCCTAATAATACTGTGCGGTAGTGCATCATAGCACAGACAGTACTAATACACTACTGCACAGTGTTATTAGGCTATTGTGCAATAGCGTCACTTAAAAGACGTTTGAAGTTCCCAAGGAGGTGTTAAAAATCCATATAATGGGACAGATTCTCACTTGTATAGCTCTACATGCTGCTTGCAGTGGAACTATACTGATTTACCTTGCCTGAGGATTTGGCCCAATGTCTCTAACTTAGAATTTTCATGTGGATCTCTTGCACACAGCTGGAAGATACTGAAGAAGTTTAATTGCTAAGGATATATTTGCTATGCATCAAAGGAGCTATACTACTGTTGTCTACTCCACAAGGTTTAGAACAGATTAAAGAAGCTGTCTTAGAAATACCCTGTTTCAGAGATATGTATAAAGATATTTTCTGCATCTTAAACCTCTATTTCTTCTGGGGTGTGCAGTCACCATAGTAGAAGATGAGCAATTTTGACTCCTCATCGAAGCCTGCTGAAGTCAAAGGAAAAATTTCTTTTTGACTTCAGTGGACTCAAGACCAAGGCCTTGGAGATCTATCTTCTTTGCTTGATGGCATGATATCAGCAAACTGCCTCACTGTTGGCAACTTCCATGCAAATTCATAGATTTACTTCAGGTTTTCTTTGGCAGAACAGTGACCTTTGAGATTCTAATACTGCTGCAGCTGAAGCTGGTGATAATTTTGCTACTGACTTTATTTGGAGCAGGATCTCTACCTCATGCCATCTCATGTTTGCAACTAATATATAGAAACACAGAATTTTAGTGAATGGAAAATGCTTTTCTAGTCTGTTCCTCCATCATCTGTGTATAAGTATTACCTCTCTGAAGTAAGCATATATTCAATTCTGATGTATCCAGGCAGGGCCATCCCTGGGGCGGAGGGACGGCAAATCAGGGTGACTGCCCTGGTCCCTGCACTTTGGGGGGCCCTGCCGAGCCGAGCCAAGCAGCCGTGGGAACTCTGTGCTGCTACCAGCGGCTTCATGTCTGGCTACTTGGTACCCGCTCCTTGCCCCTGCCGGTGGCGCCACCGCCAATGGGGGCGGTGGCTTCTTTGCATCCAGGGTGCGTGAGATCAGGGCAGGGGCAGGGCCCCACATGAGCTGATTTGCCCCGGGCCCTGCATCCTGCTTGGGTTGGCTCTGTACCCAGCTGGTGAGTGGGAGCTTTTATTTATGTATTTTCTAAGAGCTGGGGGCTGGGAGAGCAGGTGAGGAATGGGGGTGATTTGGCTAATTCAGCAGCAGCTGAATCTCCAAAGCAGATTTGGCCAAATTGATTCGGGACAGTGATTCAAATCACCAAATCGAATCACTGCGCCCCAAATTGGATGAATCTGAATCCAAAGCGAGTACTAGCTGCTTCACACAGGCCTAGTATGTAGGGGCACACTTCAGATGTGGACGTTGTATACTGAATATCAGGGAATGCTTCCTTGAGAGCAAGATGAATTTGTCTCCTAAAGGCAGCAGTGAACCCCTCACCCCCTTATTTGTGGCTTAAAAAACTACTGTGGACAAAACTTTACCAACTCCGTAAGGAACAAGGTTGCAGGTCGAGGGTGATGGCCAAGATTAGATAATTGGTCTTTTCATTTTTTGTCTTCTGTGATTCTTAAATTAGTGACAAATCCTGTCGATCTTACTTGCCCCGCTACTTCAGTTGAAGGCATAAGCTCGCAGGCTATTGGGACACCGTAGTGGAAATACTTAGGTGAGTTAAGGGAGACAAGGTTTGACTTCTTTTAGAGTAGCCATTTCTGTCAGGGTGGTTCTACATCTGAAAATGTGTGAAAAGAAGCCCAACCAACGTCTGATTTAAATCTTTTTAAAATCCTTCTCTTTATAAGTGTCTCTGAAGCATATCCCTAGACTTTTGACAACCAGATCACAATCAGTTACTTTAGTGCTTGTTTATACCACACGTGGAATGGAATACCAAAGCGCTAATGAACAATTGCAATTAAAAACCTTATTGCTGTTTAATCGCAAGAGAATAATGTAATAAGGCTGGAATGTATTAAAGCAAAGTATAAAGTCAAGATTTTAAAAAATGAGGCCCAAGAAGTAGGATTATAATACAAAAGTTGTTGCATGTTCAGTACTTTTGAAAAGCAGGCTTCTTACTGAGATGCTTGCATGTGGACTATTTTTGGCTGTTCATTTTGCACAAGTAAACGAAACGAATAATGACTAAAGCCCATTTTTCTCTTTCACTGTGATAATGGGCTGTTTTACGAGATCTTTTAGGGAAAAAAAATGTAGTCAGATATCTTTAAAAAATAAATACATAATTTATTTCAGAATTTTTTAATTTAAGTGGCACACTGGACATTTAGACAGATCACAGTAAAAAGAATCAAAGCTTTTTTTCTAGAATAAATCAAGTGATACAACTGTTATGTGACTAAACATAATTTTCAAATGTACTATTTTTTCAAGTATAGTATGGCCACTTTCAAAACAGGAGAAAAACAGGAAAACTATATTTTACTATTCCTTGATGCTGGCTGGTGCAATCACAAATATGCACAGAAAAAAGCAACCAGTCTAGAAAAGTGTACTTTTGAATTTATTACAGAATGGCATATTTTCTATAGGTTGGTTGCTTGGTTTGTTTAGGGGCGGGTTGTTTTTTGAAGCATTCTGCAGATATTTACACAGAGTTCTACAAGGTGGTTTCAAAACCTTTAAAGAACTGTTATTAAATATTACCAATTCTACTAGCCACATTTTGCAGCTCTTAATAGTTGAAAAGAACCTTCTTCATTAAGTAGTTTTGAATAAATGCAGCTACTTGTGCAGTAAATTACTGTTTAACACGAGTGGCAGAATCAGGCCTTGAGTCTTATGAAGTAATTTTTGCAGAACCTATTTGATTGCCCCTGGTACATTTTACACCAGTTTTTCCTAAAGGTTTTTTATTCCATGCAAGTAAAAGTCCTTGCCAATTCTGGTGTTTTTAAGGGTATTCCAAAGCTATGATAACTCTTACAGTTGTATAAAGTAGCTTTTTTATGGTTTTGCACCCAGAGATGAATTTGGGCCAGTGTGTTCAAAATGTACAGTTGGTATAAGTGTAATAGCAGTAGTGCTAACAGAAATCTATCAGAATATAGTCTCATGGTAAATGTACTCTGATGGTCCAGTATAACGTAATTTAAGCAATATGTAAGTTGCAAAAGGTGAAAAAAGACCTATGGCCAATCATCATTTGCTATAAAAATATCACAATTTGAGTAAAGGGAAATGGAGCTTGTGGGGCAGTACTTTACAAACTGACTTTTTAGAAATCTATTTTTTATGATTACCACCTAAATTAAACAGTTAATCAATTAGATCTGTGCTTTATTTGCAGCTCTTTCCAAACACTTTTTTCTGCGAGCGCCGCCATTCTACTCAGTATGCTGTGGTGGGTCCTGTCAGCACCCTGCATCCCCCACTGCTTTTCCAAGTAAGTTTTTATGCTTCATCAGTAATGCTTGAGTTACTCTGTAAACCAAAGCAGCAGGATTTAATGTGTTCTGGAAAACTAATTGGTGATGCAATGGCAGCAGCTAATTCCTTAGTAAAATCACAGCAATCCTATTCAAAAGGTTTCCAAAGATTTATCAAACTTAAATACACTGAGCAATTGTGAGAGATTTCTAATGGCATTGAGACACCCAGAGAGAGCTAACCAAGGAAAGCTCCTTGTTTTCACTTTGCTAGAAAAGATCCTT